TCTCTCTCTCTCTCTCTCTCTCTCTCTCTCTCTCTCTCCCCTCCACCTGTACCTGACCTCTTCCCTTGCTCCGTACCCCACCCAACCTCTGCCCTCCCTCCTCCTTCCATCTGCCCTCCCTCCGCCCAACTTCACCCTGCCGTCTTTTCCCTTCCTCCCGGCCTCCTTCCACTTTCTCCTCTTCCTCTTCACGCTTTTTCCCATGCTCGTCTCCCCCTTACCTCTTCCCTTCCTCCATACATCACTCAACCTCTGAACTACGTTCTGCTTTCTGTCCTCCCTTCGCCCTACTTCTCCCTGCCGCCTCCCTTTTCTCCTGGCCTCCTCTGGACCTTCTCTTAAACCTCCCTCTGCCCTCCCTCTCCTGGCCACCTGACTCCCTTTCCTTCGCCCAATCTCCGCCTGACCTCCCCTCTTATCTCCTCCGTCCTACTCCTTCCTCCACCCGATTTGCACTGACCTCCTCCTTCCCCCAATCTCCTTCCTCCCCTTCCTTCCTTGGCCCGGTCTCCACCTGACCTCCTGCTTCCGCCCTACTCTCTGCCGCCTTTCCCCTCCCTACAGGCCTCCTCCGCACCTTCTCTTCAACCTCCCTCTGGCCTCCGTCCGCCTGGCCGCCTCATTCCCCTTCGCTCGCCCCCTTCGTTCGCCTGATCTTTGTCTGACCTCCTCCTTCCCTCGATCTCCTCCCTCCCCTTCCTTCCTCAGCTCGATCACCACCTGACCTCCTACTTCCATTCCTCCCTCCGTCCTACTCCCTACCTCGCCCTTCCTCCCTCGACCGGCCGCCCTTCCTTCATAATGCCCGACGTAAGAAATACTTATTTTCCTTTATCCGGTGGACGTAAACGCGCCATTCGTTATCAAGATCGCTCCATTTCTTTTAAGATCTCAACACTGTTGCACACACGCAAGAAGGAGAGAGGGAAAGCAGGAGAGAGAAAAACACATTTCAACCAACACACTTCCTTCCTCGCACATTCTTTGTCCTTGTCTGTCTCTTCCACCACCACATCTTCTGCCTCCTCAAGATCTTCCTCCTCAACATTCTCCCTCGGTCTTTTCTTTTTGGAGCGGCATCATGATTAACTGCCTGCGCCAGGTATTTCAGCCTATCGATATTTCTTTCCATATTTCACTCTCTTCCATCCCAATCCCTACACACACCACACTGAGTCATCTCTCTCTCTCTCTCTCTCTCTCTCTCTCTCTCTCTCTCTCTCTC